ACAGCTCTGACTTGATAGGCTCATAGCTCTGCAGCCAGAGTATAAATAATCCACTTCTCTTCACTCAGGTTAAGAGAAGAAATTTTGCTGTACCAGTGAGGCTTGCTCTTCTGTGAAGCAGCCACGGTAGCCCGTGAGTCAACATGTTGTAGTTGGTTTAGATTGGGTCATTCATATACCTCCCTTGTAATTACTAGTGGAATAGTGTTGGGCTATATGGTCACCTGATGAGTTTCTGCTACACTGTTGAACATTCCCACTTATCCCTCTTACAATAATCTCAAGTTCAGACTCATGTCCAGAACTTAACCAACAGTGCTTTGCATAAAATACACAATTCTGAGTCATCAGGAAAATGTAAATCAAAATGGCAATGAGAAGCCATCTTACCCTGTTAGAATGGGTGTCTATCCTAGCCTAGCTATCTATCATCTATCTATCTATCTATCTATCTATCTATCTATCTATCTATCATCTATCTATCTATATATCTATCCATCTATCTATCTATTTATCTATCTATCTATCATCTATCTATCATCAATCATCTGTCTATCTATACATCAGTCTGTCTATCTATCATCTATCTATCAGATGATCATCATTATCTGTCTGTCTATCATCATCTAGCTATGATGCTGGTGAGTATGTAGATTAAAAAGGAACTCATGCAGTTGCAATGTTTGTGGGAATGTAAATTAATATAGTCACACCAGAAAATAGTGTGGAGGTTCCTCAAAAAACTAAAAGCAAAACTAACACATAATCTAGCTGCCCCACTTCTGGGTTTATTCAAGGGAAAGGAAATCAACAAATCAAAGAGATACCTTCATAGCCATATTCATGCAGGACTATTCTCAATAACTAATATTCAAAATCAGCCTAGCTGACAATCATCAAAAAATGGATAAATAAAATTTAAAACACATATGCATATACATGCATGTGCACTCACACACACAAGTTTTATACAACCATAAAGAATGAAATGCTGTCATATGCAGAATGAACTAGAAGATACTGTGGTAAGCAAATCAAGTAAGACACAGAAAAACAAATACTACACATTCTCTTTTATATGTGGAAGCTAAAATACAGGCTAATTTGAAAACAGAATAGTGACCCTGAGCTGGAGAGTTGGCTCAGCAGTTAAGAGCACTGACTGCTCTTTCAGAGGACCCAGGTTCAATTCCTAGGACCTACATGGCAGCTAACAACCACCTATAACTCCAGTTCCAGGGGATCCAACAACCTCTCTGGCCTCCATGGGCATTGTATGACATGGGTGCACTTACACACATACAGGCAAAACACCCATACACATAAAATAAAACTAATATATAAATTTTTAAAAAGGAAAGTAAAATAGTGGCCGCTGGAGATTGGGAAGGGTGGGGGAGTGTGGAAAAGATGATTGTATTTGATTAATGCATACCACACTCATGTATGGATTTATCACACTGAATCTCAGTAATGCATACAGTTAATACATGTTTGTAGAGTTTTAAAAATGATTCTGTTCTGGTGCCTGCACACTCAGAAAATAGAACTTTCACACTCTCTCACCTACCCCACCCATCAACCAGTTATTACAGCCCATCAATTCTGCTTTTGAGACGTTTGCATGCCCATTTCTTTGGTCTCTAATATCTTCATAATTGAAACTGATACCATCTCACACCCAGATGACTGAAGTAGGTCTCCTCCCATTCACTCTCGGGCTCTTCATAGTCTTCCTCCTCCAAGCAGAATAATTTTCTAAAAATTAAAACTCACGGTACTTTGATCCTACTTAAACATCTTGGAAAAGGCCCATTGCTCTTAAGCCTTGACTCTTGAACTTACTCCGTCCCCAGTCTTTCCTAATATTATCTTTTCTTTTTACATGAAACATTCCAAACATATCAGTCCTGCAGCTTTTCAGAAATAATCGGACTTCCTTGGCAGCTACCAGGTTTCATATGAGTCAGGCCAACACATGGTGTTCTGGACGCTTCTAACTCCTGCATCATTGCACACCACTCATCAGATCTACAGTACTTACTCATACAGAGTTTTGAGTGTGACGCTGCAAGAGCAAAGGCTTTGTCTGTTCGTCTTGATAGCCTCATACTGAGTGGATGCTCAGCCAGTACTTACTGAATGAGTACTTGTCCCATTTTGCTGCAGAGCTTTTAAAAAGTATTAATTATCATTGTGCATATGATGTATACGCATGGATGATCATGCCATGAGTGTGCGGAGGTCAGAGGACAACTTTCTCTCCTGCTTTTACATGAGTTCTGAGGTTAGAACTCACATCATTGGGTTTGTGCAGCAAGCGCTCTGTCAGTTGAGCCATCTCGCTGGCCCCTTATTATAGACCATTGCATGTCTATCTTTTCTGCCGTGGTACAAACTTGTCTCTTTACTGCACAAATATCTGTGTCTACCTTGTGCTAAGGAGTGAGTTAAATGTTAGGAACAGAGGCTTGAAGAAGATGGAGGAGACTCTTACCTTTGGGAAATTATAGCCTTCTTGCTGTGCAGAAACTATTTGTTGTTTTCTTTCTGAGGTAGGATAAAAAGGCAGGGAAAAGTAAGAGAACATGAGAAGGGAAGAATGTCCCTCACCCCAGGCTCTAGTTTGCCTTTCTTGAGAGTCAAGAAATATCAACAAAACTGAAAAACTTAAAACTGCCTATAGAGATGTGTGTTTCCCTGAAAACTGCCCAAACGAGGATGTCAAGAGCAGCAGATGACCTGTGCCTCCTTAGGGCTAGGATGTTTGTGACCCTGAGTGGTGCTTGAGCAAGTAAGTCAAACCCAATTAGGGGATCATGAAAACCTTGACTTAGGACCCCTTGGCTCCAAACACAAGCTGCATCCTGGGACTATCCCTGACATCTGATATGGGCTGAACCCTTACTTAACCTGAGGCAGAGAGCAGCAGAGCAGAACTGAATTAAAGGACACCCAGCTAGCATCCAGTGAAGAACCAGTTGTCAATTGGGTTAAAACTCACATTTTGATGACCAGAAATGACATGTTCTGTGTTGTGGTGAGAAAGTAGGATCCCCAAGGACCACCAAGCTGTGGGTTTCATGGGTCAAACGTGACCATCACCCATTAGAAGGAATGAAATAGGGATGTTCCAACCAGCAGCAGGGAGAGAAGAAGAGCGGAGATTGGGGGTACCTGGGAGCCTGGGGCAAAGAGATGTCGATGCACTGAGAAGGGACAGTGGAGGTGAGATCGCCCAGTTTTCATTTGAAGCTCTTTTCTCAGTGTCTGTCTCCAGCTCTGCATTGTGAGCTGTGACAGCAGGAACAATGTCTTGATTTTCAGAGTTGTGGGGCCAATCAGAACAGTCCCACGTGCTTGATGGTACATGATGGTGCATGAGTAAGTGCTCCTTCTGTCCCAGAGAGGATGTGCCCATCAGGCAGTTCTGGGGCTCGGTGTCTCTAGACAACTAGGAAACCCTTGACAGGAGGCTCACAAGCCCAGGTATTCCAAGTCATTCCCAAATCATGGTCAGTAAGCATATGGATCTGCCACTTGACCACTAAAAAGTGTCAGAAGAGAAAAAGAACTTCACAAAGATTTTAATAATCCGTAATTGTGTTTATGCCTAAAAAGCACAGCAGTAGAGTGGGCAAGATGATGATGTTGGGTAATGTTTTTCAGGGAAAAAGAGTGACAAGAGTATTGTGATATATAATATGAAACGGCTATTTGATGCCTTTTGACAGAAAGGAGTCAAAAATTAAGGAGGCTGAAGACCTCAGAGACAAACTCAGGACCAGTTTTCTTCCAAAGCAGGTGCAACATCGTGTATTTCCTAAGTAAAAGGTGACCACATAATGGATAAACTTGTGAACTCTAGAATCATCAGTCTGGCTTTGTTCGTGGCAGTATGGATTCTGGACAAGCCACTTGGCATTTTTAGAGTCACTCATTTTATCATAAAAATGAATCTATGAATGAGACCCAAGTCAACGCTGAGATCGTTAAGGGAAATATTTAGTAAAGCTTCCAGGATGTGTTACAAGCTGACACGCATAGGGATCACTACTGCTCGCACGCACACATGACCTGCAGGAGGTGTATTGGGTTCCCGAGTCCATCTGTAATCCTGACGACTCCAAGGAGAACAAGAGAAAAATGAAGAGCCCTTGAGATCACCTATGCAGGAGAGGCCAGGCAGAGCTGTGTATAGAGACAGTACTCAGTAAGCGATGATTGTCTTCCCTTCCCCCTTTGCCTCCTCTCTGTTTCTAAGACATTGGATTTGAAGGGTTCCATTCTCTATTTGTTGTTGAGTCCCTGAGGCTTCACAAACCAAGTCTTCCCTTCCCCCTTTGCCTCCTCTCTGTTTCTAAGACATTGGATTCGAAGGGTTCCATTCTCTATTTGTTGTTGAGTCCCTGAGGCTTCACAAACCATCCTGTTCTGAAAGTGGCAGGATGCAGCCTTACAGCCAAAGTGGTCCAGAAGGCAGATCAAAGTGTCCCTTTAAAAGAAATGCAACCACTAAGATACACAGCTTCCATTAGAAATGAATCAAGTAGAAACAATGCAAATGTAGAGCCAGTTTTCCTCTTCTTTCATCAGTTTAAGAGCCCTCCGTCTGGGAGAGGGGCAGCAGTTTGCTCCCTCTGAGCAAATGTGTGAAGGAAACCAAGTGCAGTGCCTTAAGCTGCTTCTTCCCCTTTCCCTTCCCCATTCTACTCCCCCAAGCCCTTTACCCTCCACTCTGGGGCCTGAACGTCCAGTTTCCCAGCCAAAACCTTCTCTCAAGAAGGATATGAAACTCATTTACAATAAAATACAAATGAGGATTACAGCTGAGTGCATGCCTCATGATTTGCCTTACCTTAAACATTGCAACAAGATTTCCAACCAGTCTCAGCAAAGAGCAAGAGAGCACCTTTGGGAGGGGCCAGAACCTTACCAGCTATCATTTTTAAGACGGACTCATCCCGAAAACCCTGAAATCGCATTTACTTGTGTTATAGACAAATCAGCAGCACCGAATAAACAAGACTCAGACTGGAACTCAAAAACTGGTAAGTATAATGCTCATTTCTTTTGGGGAAGAAGGTAGAGACCTGTTTGGTAATCCCAACCTCCTCTGAATTCAGAAATCACCTGACGTATGTCTATACTGGCAAAGTTCTAGGATGAGTCTCTCAGTACTAAGCTCCCCCCAAACTGATTTTTGTAAGTCATTTGGGTATCAGTTATGGAGAAGATATTATAAGAGAGTTAAAGAGGCGTTCCTGGCCTCCCATATCTAGACTCAAGAGAGTTGAGAACTATTTGAATTTTGAATTTTGAATCTCACTTCCTTATAACCTCATTGGAAAGATGCACTGACTTCCCCACTTGGGGCTCTCCTTAGTAGCTGTTGCAAAGGCACTTCTCTTTCCCCTCTGAGCCATTATGTATGCTGCTGACAAGTTCTGTAGCAATGATTTTTATGATATGACATACTATGAACAAATGACATACAACCAAAAAGTTAGTCTTCATTTGTTTATAATGTAAACAAGTTTACTGAGCCTTGAGTTCCTCTTGTAACTAAAAACATGTAGTTTTAATTCCTCATGGCCATTCCTTGCCCTTGACCCCAAAACAATGTATGAGTGTTTGTGTGTGTGTGTGTGTGTGTGTGTGTGTGTGTGTGTTTTGCATATTCAAGAAAGTGCTGCACACATGTGGGATATTTGTTGGAAACAATGAAGATACGAAGATGATCCCATTTGTGTTGCAAACAATAGATAAGATTAAATTGATAACATCTGTTTGTGGCTGTGTGCATGCTGGTCTCGGTCTAGGGTTCAGAAAGGGTAAAACTCTCTGATAAGGGTCTTGCTTTTACTTCCCCGTTTCATACTAGACATTGTTTCAATGAAAGAACAATCTAGCCCTGCTTCAAGAGCCCAGTTCCAAGAGACTTCCAAAGGAACAGATTCTCAGCAGTCAGGATCCACTCTTGGGAGTCGAGCTGTTTTTATTCAGGCATAACTGTAACGTGGCATTGCTTTGTAAATGCTGTAGCTTCATTTTCCTACAGAACAGTGCTGAGCATGCCCAAGGAATTCACACTCTTCACCCAACCTTCACACAACAGCATGAGTTATCATTTTTTAAAAAATTGGATTATTTCTTTGTGTAGAAGCTTCCTCCCTGCTGGCTCACCTTCATACTGCTGGAAGGCACTATGCAGGTTCCTAGAAGAAAAAAGTTGTCAACAGTCTTTTCCATCTGTGGACGCTGTGTGCTATAATATTGACCTACCAGGCAAGATATGACCACTATGGGAAAAGTAGTAAGTCTGTGTAGGGGGTAACTAACCACTTTCTGACTATACTTGAGGCCTGCTTCATAGGAGGGAAGGTGTGTCTGGTAATGTAAACTTGGGCAAAAGGCTATAGTTGGGCAGGTCAAAGGAGAGAATGTACTACTGATATTTTGCTAAGTGGACATGTAGCTAAACTGCCTCCTAAGACTTTAGATTTATACCCAGTCTGAGAGTGCTACTCTCAGCCCAGGTCAGAGAAGCTTCTCTTTGCAGGAGGAGATAGTTAATGTAGAGACGTACACCTGGCCAAGTGTGATTGTTGAATGTTCAGTGCTATGCAGGACATCCATACCGCTCCTTCCAAGGTCCAGGGAACATCTCAGAAGAAGGAGCAGAGAGATTATGAGAGCCAGAGAACTGAGAACGGTGCTGCGAAACGCTGTCTTCTGCATATGACACGGCTGTAGCAATCATGAACATGCAGCAGCTGTGGTTACGAGCACACGGCCTACAGAAATGAATGAGTGAGGGGCTGGAGAGGTGGCTTAGCAGTTAAGAGCACTGACTGCTCTTGCAGAGAACCTGGGTTCAATTCCCAGCACCCACATGGCGGCTACAAACCATCCTTAGCTCCAGTTCCAGGGCAATTCGATGCCCTCTTCTGACCTCCGTGGCATTGCGCAACTTGGGTGCACTCACACACATGCAGGCAATACACTCATATGCATAAAATAAAAATAATAAAATATTTTTTTAATGAATGAATGAGTGAATACATGAAAGACATAGGGGTAGGAGGGGAACTAGGTGAGGAGAGGCAGGTCGTCAGCAAGAGTAGGAAAAGGATGAGGATGGTGGGGGTGGGAATATGATTGCTATATATTTTATATATGTATGAGTTTGTCAGAAAAGGAAATATCCTCAGTACTATTGTTGCATTTTCAAATTCCCACAAAGCATGTATCAATAGGTTATACTACATTTTATGCTGAAATAGCTCTAAATAAAATATTTAAGTGCAAAAAAATGGAATTCTTGCATTCGTATTGTTTTTTTAAAAAGGCATTCTGTATTGCAACTTTCAAAGCCTTTAAATGATTTGGGTCAACCTGGTTTTTTGACCTGCTTGTACCATGTCCCTTCCTGTTCTTTAAGCTCCAGTCACACCGACTTGACTGATCCACAAAGAACTCCTGCCTCCCTGATCGCCTCTGTCCCGGTGCTGCTGCCTCCTGGCTTCCTGGGCCCAGGGTGACTCTTCCATTTTCTTGTGTGACTAGTTCCATTGCCTGGTTAGAATCTAAGCTCAGCAATCATTCCCCAGTAGAGCACTGCTCAGACTCAACCGTGTTTCTTGGTTATTTATTTGTTCATTTATTTCCTTACTCCCAGGACTTTCACAGTATGAAACCACTTCATCTATTTGTTTGCCTATGATCTTCAGCTCTGGTGAGTGCTTTTCTTTTCTTTTTTTTTCACTTTTAATATTTTTATTGCATTTTGTGCATTTTATATAATACATCTTAATCAAATTTAGACTCCCTCCCCACTTCTCACTCTCATAGCCTCCCCCCGCCCAGATTTCAGGTATTCTGTCATATATTTCTATCCAGGCATCTCTTGGTGCAAAAGTACAAATTTATCCACTGGCGTCTAATCAGCCTATCTCGAGTCACTCCCTTAAAGAAGATCTACTCTCCCTCACCCACAGTAATCATTTGCCGATAGTTCCTTGGCTAGGTTGGGGCCTGCTGCCCGTTCCCCTCGTTCCGTGCTGGGTGTTGTCTGACGAGTCAGCCTGGGTCTTGTGCACTGAGCGTTTTTCTTGCTCTTTGTTCATTGTTGTGTCTAGATAGCAGCTGACATGTCGGTAGCTTTCAGTCAGCATTTTGCACAAAACCAAGTCATTTATCTGTTAAAATTCTTCCAAGATACTACATCATTTTAAAAATCAAGTACACATTCTTGACGCCGACCTACATGGTCTTGTCCTAATCCACTAGCTAAGCTATATTCATGCAGCACCCTTGTTATTATAGCAATTAGCACACTCAAAATTATCTGCATGGGCCTGTCTTCTGACCTTTCATCTTGAAGATGAAGTTTGTGGGTCTGTATTAATTGGCATCATGTGGGAGTTTGTTAAAACTACAGAATATAAAGCCCGGCACTAGGCCTACTGGGTCGCAGGAACCTGAGGTGAGTTGAACACTGGTTGGACCATGCACATACCTCATAAGCAATTACTAGTAGAATGATATCGGGCCCAACATGCATCAGATGAACCATTCAGTATTCCGTTGCGTCTCTCATGGGCAGCTCAAGTTGATAATGTTCACAACTGAGCTAATAATGTCACTCCAAAAAGAATTATCTTTTTCCAGTGTTTTTAGTCTCAGAAAATGAGAAATGTCCTAGACTAGTCTATGAACTATTCAAAGGCAGAAAGTAATTATTATTTACTTTCATTTCCCACATGGCCTCTGTGTTTACTGAGATGAATTCTGAACACATACAAAGAGGAAGAGAGGCCTGGAGAGATGGCTCAGTGGTTAAGAACAGTGGTTGTTCTTACAGAAGACCTGGGTTTGAATCCCAGCACCCACATGGCAACAAACAACTGTCCATAACTCTAGCTCCAGGGGCTCCAACAGCCTCTTCTGTCCTCTGCAGGCATTGCATTACACAGGTGCACTTACCTACATGTAGGCAATACACACGTACACATAAAATAAAAATGATAAAATAAAAAAAAAATATCGAGGTGCATTGGGGCTGGAGAGATGGGCCAGCCACTAAGAGCACTGGCTGCTCTTGCAGAAGACCTAGGTTTGACTTCCAGCACCCACACAGAGGCTAACAACCATCTATAAGTTCCAGGGGCTCTGGTGCAGTCTTCTGGCCTCCCGGGGCACCACACAACGTGGGTGTGCTTAATATACATGCAGGCATAACAATCGTACAAAAAAATTTTAAATACAAATGAATAAATTACAGAACAAAAGAATGTCAAAACAGAGAAGAGAGAGACAGGTAAAACATTAGAGAAGAGCTAAAAGAGGCGGGGGTCATCCTCACCCCAGCAGCCTCAGTCCTGAGTGTTCCCAGGTCATTCACTGCTTTACACTTTTTAGATCAATGGTGAGAAGAGACCAGCTCCTGGGAGGAGGCGTGTTAGTCACTTTTCTGTTGCTTTGATAAATCACAATGACCAAGGCAACTTATGGAAGAGGGTCTTTTTGGCTTAAGGTTCCAGAGTGGTAAGAGTCTGTCAGGGCAGGAGGCTTGGCAGCAAGCAGCAGGCCTGGTAGTAGCAGCCAAAAGCTGAGAGCTCACATCTTCATGCAGGAAGCAGCCTGAGAGACTGAAAGTAGGTGGAGACTAAGAACTCTAAGAAGTTACTCTGCTATCGAACTACATCTGTAGCTCTGATTTTTATTTATTTACATTTTTTGGGTGTTTAAACACAGACTTTAATGGTAAAAATTCCTTTGAGCCCACTTAACTTTAGCTATTACAAGTCTTATGCAGATGTCATTATTAGACAACATTTAATGACTTGTACTGGGTTCCTCATAAAATAGAAGACAGATTCACTTAAAAGTGTAACCAACAATCATTTAACAGTTTTATGTCAACACAAAACATGGCTACTTTGAGTCACTCCCCCCAAATTAATACAGCATACTTCAACTAAGCAATACTACCCCTGAGACCACTAGTTAACTGTGGTTCATACTTTTAAATGTGAGTACACCCACGGAAAATAAACTAATTTAAAAAATATGATTATCATATTGCAAACCTGCCCAGGAAGAGTCAAAATGCAAATTCATCATTAACAGGCCAACTGGACTCCAAAGACAAAAATTTAATTTTATGCATTAAAAGGTATAGGACATAGGAATCAGTCTAAACCAACACTTAACCTGCTAATATTCATTGCTGTCCTATACCTGGCACCAGTAGACAGCCTGTTACTCTGTAGCTCAGGCTGGCCTCCAATTCACAACAATCCATACCTGCCTCAGCCTCCTTGGCACTGGGAGGCAAAAGTCACAAAGCCCAGCTGCAAAAAATCTTGGAGGAGCTGTCTACACCGTTTATGGCTGTTACTAAACCTGCTTTGTCCAAGTCTCCAGTGATCTCCACATTACTCCGTGGGTCATGTTTTCAGCTTTATCCTTCTCTGGATTATGCTGGAATTGCAAAGGGCCCAGGATCTACAAAAACGGCTAAACAAAAACACAGCGAAAAAAAAAAAAAAAAAAAAAACACAAATTACCCAAGATCTACAAAAACAAGCAAACAAAAAACACACAAAGCATCCAAAACTGGGTGTTTAGCAAAGAACAGACATTTACTTAGCTCACAGGTCTGGAAGCTGGGATGTCCAGGGGCAGGGTGCTGGGATCTTGTCAGGGCCTCTTGATGCATCATAACATGACATAGTAAACACTGAGCAGCATCCTAGCTCTTCTCATAAAGCCTCTAGCTTCACCCTCATAACCTCATCAAATCCTCATCACCTAACCAACTTTCACTGTCTAATACCATTAACATATGGATTTGGGGCTTCAGTTTCCAATGTGAATTTGGGGGTAGGGGACACATTCAGAACATAAAGCCTCACTGTACTTCCACTGTCGAATGACACATTGTCACTTTCCCCTGACATCGACTCTGCTTGCCTCTCAGGATTAACATATGGATTTGGGGCTTCAGTTTCCAATGTGAATTTGGGGGTAGGGGACACATTCAGAACATAAAGCCTCACTGCACTTCCACTGTCGAATGACACATTGTCACTTTCCCCTGAAATCGACTCTGCTTGCCTCTCAGGGCCCCAGGTCCTCAGTGTCCCTATTGGCCATCTTCCTCCATGCAATATCGCTGTGTTGGTACAACCGATTCCCAGGCAATCAACTGTCTTTCTGTTCCGTGTGCATCCCCCTGAGACCTCATTCAATGACATTACCATTGATAGAACCTGAATGCTAATGATTCTCCTGCTTCCATCTCTAGCCAAGATTTCATCCCTAAACTCCATGTCGATACATTGACCTTTCTTTGGTGTCTGTAACCACCACCCTCAGAGTCTGTGTTCCCATCCCCACAAGTTTCTCATTAGTGACCCTCCTCCTCTTTGGAAATGACAACTCCAGCTTTGATTTTCCCTAGTCAACATCTCTCAGCTGAGTCTTGATTTCTTTCCTTCATGCCTCAAATCCAGCAGAAAGTCTTATGGGTCACATGTCCACTGTATTCTTCCATCTCTGCCAACCCCCCTGCAGCCTTCATCATCTCTGGCCTTGATTATTACAGTGGCCTCTAGAGTGGAAGTCAGATCTGCTCTGTAAGACACTCAGTGGTTTCCCATTTCGTTCATAATAGAGTTCAAAGCCCTAAGACTGCCCATAAAGCCTTCCCTGGCTTGTCTCTGCATTTTCTCTCATCTTTTACCCTTTTTTCCCTTTTTCTTCATTCTGGTGATCTGAAGATTCCTTGAAGATGCCAGGGGCAGCCCCACCCTGGATCTTCCATGCTTGGCATTCTTTCTGTCATGCCTTGTTTGGCCTCTGACTTGCCTAAATGCTATGTTGTTTAAAAGATATTCCCTGAGTTCCCCATAATGAGCAGGCATTTCATGCCTACGTGATCCTACTGACACACCACACTTACTCCATATAACATAATGAATATTCTGTTTTTCAACATCACTCTCTTCACTACAATATAAATTTCACGAAGACAGAAACTGGCATGTTTATTTTGTCTATATCTCCAGCATATGAAACAATACCAGGCAGGATGTTGAAGACATAATGGAATAAAAATATTTTGAAGACATAATGGAATAAAAAAATAAATAGAAGTAATATGCATTGAATATGTCAGAAGTGTCATGGACATATAAACAGGAGCTAAAGGTATTGGAAAAGAAGAGGTTGTGGGGGTTGGAATGAGAATGTCCCCCATAGGCTCCAAGTATATGAATATTTTGTCCCCAGTGATGGTGCTGTTTGGGGAGGTTTTAGGAGTGTGTCCTTGCTGGAGGAAGCAGGTCACTGGGGGTAGGCATTGAGAGTTCTTAAACCTTACCAGATTTCCAGTACTATTCTGCTTCCTGTGCCTGCTTGAAGATGTGGTGGCTCAGCTTTCTGCTCTGGTCACCTCTGCTGAGATGCCTCCCCAGCCATTACAGATACTAACCCTCTGAACTGTAAACCAAACACACCAAATAAACTCTTCCTTCTATGAGTTGCCTTGGTCGTGGTGTTTTCTCACAGCAACAGAAAAGAAAGCAATACAGAGGCCTCATATCAGAAATTGACAGGCAAGAAGCAGGGATGGGGAACTCAGCTCTGGGGAAACAAGAGGGAGGAAGCAGGAGAAAGAGACAGAAAGGGGAAAGAGGAGGAGGAGAAGGAGGAGGAGGAGGAGGAGGG